AGTTGCTTTAAAGGGAAAATGGCCTATTTCAGCTTAAGCTAACTGACGGACACAGATTTATTCTAAGTTACATATATCAAACAAAATCCTTAAGTAGAAATATCATCTTAAATATTTTTTTCCAAAAATGTGAGAATGCTATTTACAAGTGCGAGATTGCATACAATACTTGTACATGTTTATTTTGCTTAGCAGTGTGTATGTATTTATATGTTTACATATAATTTAAAGGCTTTAGCTAGTTCTTCTTATTTGGCGCTGTAACCGCCTAAGCGATTTTGGCCGAGTTCAGTAAAGCACGCCAGTCGTTTCTCTTCTGTGCCAACTGACGCCAATTGGAAACGTCAAGTGAAGCCAACTCCTTCTCCACCTGATCTTTCCATCGCAGTGGGGCCCTCTTCCTCTGCTACCACCAGCGGGTTCCGAGTTGAATACTTTCAGAGCTGGAGCGTCGAACGACATGGCTAAGCCAGCGGAGCCGCTGTATTTTAATTCGCTGCATTATGTCCATGTCACTGTAAAGCTCATACAGCTCATCGCTCTATCGTCTGCGGTACTCGCCGTCGCCAACGTGTAAAGGCCCATAAATCTTCCGCAAAATCTTTCTCTCGAATACTCCAAGAGCCGCCTCATCGGATGTTGTTATTGTCCATGCTTCTGCGCCATATACCAGCACGGGCATGATGAGTGACTTATAGAGCGTCGTTTTCGTACGTGGAGAGAGGACTTTACTCCTGAATTGCCTACTCAGTCCAAAGTAGCACTTGTTGGCAAGAGTGATTCTGCCTTGGATTTCCATGCTGACGTTATTATCGGTGTTAATGCTGGTTCCCAAGTAAACAAAATTCTCTACTTTCTCGAAATTGTAACTGTCAACAGTGACGTGCGTGCCAAGGCGCGAATGTGCTGACTGTTTGTTTGATGACAGGAGAAACTTCGTCTTGTCCTCGTTTACCACCAGACACATTCGCTTTGCTTCCTTATCCAACTTGGAAAAGGCAGAACAGACTTCGCGGTTTTTGATACCGATGATATCGATGTCATCGGCATAAGCCAGAAATTGCACGCTCTTGTAGTAAATTGTTCCTGAGCGTTTCAGTTCTGCAGCTCTTATTATCTTCTCCAACATCAGATTAAAGAAGTCACATGAAAGGGAGTCGCCCTGTCTGAAACCCCGTTTAGTGGCGAACGGCTCCCAATTCTGACGGAGCTGGTGCCAAATTCAGACATAGCGGCGTATAGGCAACTTCGTTTAGTGCTGTCAAAAGCGGCTTTAAAGTCGACAAATAGGTGGTGAGTGTCCAAAGGCCAATAAAAATAACTGTTGCCCCTTTGAAATTTTCAATTAAGTTGCCAGTTTCGAGAGTAGGGTTTAGAACCATATACGCTAATTAAATTTTGTTAATATACTTAATTCAAAATGCCGAAAGCAAGTTGTGTTTTGTGCCGAAAAACGTGGACACAAGAAGGAGTCAAGATGTTCCATGTCCCACAAAATGTGATATAAAAAGAAAAAAATGGTCCGACTCTTGCGGAGTCCAACTAAGTCCTGCGGCGAAATTGTGTTCGCATCATTTCTCATCGGCCGATTTTGTCAGGTTCCGATCGTAAAAGGGTGAGGCTGTTAGACAATGCCTTACTTTTAGCGATTGAGAGCCGCACACACAGGTTATGTGTTCAAAGTAGTGATGTGCCGAGTCGGCTATTTTTGGTACTCGAGTATTTTGGTACTCATTAAAAAAAGAATCGAGTCAGGATTCGAGTCAGATACTCGGATCAAGTATTCGAGTTCAGAGCTCGGTATTCGAATACGTTATAGATTCGACTGCTGAACATGCACCCAACCGAAATGCCGACTTTTTATTTAACATGATATTATTATTAACTCCAAGATAGTATATCCGATTTATGTAGATCCAAACATAGAAATCTAATTCTTACATACTTACAAATAATAATTAAAATTAAATAAATATAGGGTTCAATAACAGTTGCTTTATTTATCATAGTAGAACTAGAACTTAGTAGTATGTCATAAAAAAAATATCCAAAGTAAATAATGAGTTAAAAAAAAATAAATCTTCAGTACCTTAAAAGTTCAACTAGTACTTCAATTATAATGCCAATATTCCATGAGATCTAGATTCATAAACAACAAAATTACTCCTTTGGAATTTAAAATTCCTTTCATCTTTGGCAATTAATACCTATAACGATATTAAAATTAATTTAGTTGTGTGGTGTATTTGGTAAATATATATACATATATATTTTTTTTTAACGCTAAACCGCCATTTATATATCAAAAATACCTGATTCGGTGTTTGATAATTATAAGTACTCGAGACCCGTACTCGAGTCTGTGTATGCGAATACTATAATTTGCTTACTCGAGTACGTGAGTACTTCTAAAATACTCGAGTCAGAACTCGAGTCGACTCGACTCGGCACATCACTAGTTCAAAGGAAACTCAATTACGCCTCAAACAATTGCTCAGTTGCTCACTTTGACTTCGGTGTCGGATGCATCAATTGCCTACAAATTAACATAAATACAACTCAGGGTTCATCACGCAGGACGGCAAAAGGTAAAGCTGGCTGTCCAACTGTTTTTCCATAACACGGCAAGTGCAATTAGACGATGTTATGCGTTAGGGCATAATATGCACGGTCGAATTCATATCCGTGGTCAAGGATTGGTTCGACGTTTTTAACCGCAAGTTTACCACGTTCCAGTCAATGGCGTCAAAGAAACCCTTTGGCATGGAGTTGGAACAGCAAATGCAGATATTAGCGAAAATGGAGGATTGCATGCAGCATACTAGGGCGATTGGGCGGTAAGCGTTGTTACCTTTTCAGAGAGTAGTCCTTCTGAGCAACAATTCTCTCAGAAGTTTGTATGAATATGTGAAGGAGAGATATGCTTTTCGATATATCCTGAAGCACAGGTTGAACCAGGATATTATTGAGCACTTCTTTGGAGCAATGCTTGCAAATGGGAGCGGGGGCTTTTTGACAATCCAAGCCCGTTGCATTTTAAGTACAGATTGCGGGTAATATTTTTTCAAACTTCTTATTTGATTCCAATCTTTATACTCAATATCTTGTTTTAGCGCGTAACACGGAAAGCTACGCTGCCCGGAGAAATATGGAATCCGACGAAACCGAGTGGCTTCGCCTTAGTGAGACACATCAGTAGAAAACCTAAAAGGCCTTCTTACTAATGATGAGGTGGTTTCCGAGGAATTCGCATTTTCCAATGAATTAGCGTTTCCCAATGAGGTCGAGCAAGACGTAGAGATAAGCGCCTTATACGAGGATGCCCTGGAATACATCGCCGGTTTCATTATCAGAAAATTGGGAAAGTTGGGTAAAAATATATTTCAAAGGAGCATACATACACTTGGGTTTACGAAGTCTCTAGAGGCGCCTTGACCAAGCCATCCAGCGATTTTTTGGATGTTATCAAAAGCCTGGAGATCGTGTTCAAGACATACAGGCTGCATTTCTTTATTCATTCTGAACGTTTGGAATACACTTTTTTGTTTATTTACTCTTTAGAACGTTCCTGATGATATGTTGACGTATATTTCAAACGCATTCTGTTTATTCCGGCTGTGAAATGGGATTATCCGGAATGTATAAAGAAACGCAGCCACAATGTCGACAAAATAAAGCCTTGCTCAAAATATTTGGCTAAGCTGAACGCGTGTTCGCAACACATTAGTGCCAGCGATGATGTAAAGAAATTATTTTTTAAAACGCGCATGTACCAGTTGATAAAGAACCTCAAGAAGGCGCAAAAACAACAAAAGAGACCGGTTTCTCTAAATCAAGGTAAATCAATAAAAGAAAGTAGTAAACTTAGTTTTTATTTATTTAGAAAAATATATATTTTATTGTTTGTTTACTTTTAGCATGCCCACATCACAGGTCAGCTCCTCACCTCGCAAACTCCACAATATAGCATCTTATCGCAAGTACTCCTTGTCCCGCAAGTTCCACACCATCACGCAGGTACTCTTTGTACGCCACCAAATAGTCTGCCAATTCGTAATCATTCGGGTAAGCTTGCAATAATTACACTCATTAAGTATTCAATCAAATTTTCATATACAAAATTTCTGTATTATCTTTAGCACCTGGCACACCAACGCACCATTGGTTCAGAGTTTGAAGTTCAAATCGAACGGTTGCGGAATACACAACGCAAATATCTTTCGATTTTACGTTAACGCGTGAATTTAGTTCACATTTTCATCATGTAGTTGCAACGCAACATGCGCTGGCCGAAGCATTTGCAGATTTAGCACAGAAAAGCCCAGAGCTGCTCGAGGATTTCACTTGTAAATCGGAAACAACGAAATCTTACAATAAA